TCGTCCGACTGGTGGTGGCACTTTCTAGGAGATTTCTTTTTAGCGCCACATTCCTAATAATTTTTGTAATACCTTGGAGTGTCGTTGACCTGGATGCGATGCCAGATTTTCTTTTAGGGCCGCCACGACGGTCGAGGGCCTTGAGGGCGCGCTTTCCCGTGGTTGTCATGCGAGTCCGGACCCTCAGGCGATTCAAGGAACCAAGGTCCTCTCGCGCGAGTCTGAGTGTATCTTGACAGTCTGAAACCCCTTCTTCTGCCCTTCTTACTATAAGTCTAGTCTGTTGGTTCTGAGAGGAAGGCGGTAGGCGGGATTGCAACCCGTAGGACCGCAGAAAGACTATGTGGGGAGTCAACCCACCGTTTGCGGGAGCTCTTCCAGAACTCATGAGGAGTGATGGAGGCAGGGAACGGAGAGGTAAAAGTTTCGTTTTCCCTCTATAAACCCAGTTTATAACCCATATCTGAGTTACCTTGGCTATGTTTTGACTCAGCATACTGAATGCACCCATATTTTGATTTTTCAGTTTGACTTCAGGACATGACTCAGATTAAATAAAGGAATGCATGTAAACTCAGTTTCAGTTTTGTTGATTAACTGAAAGCAGATTATAAGAAGAGATTGCATCTGGGAGAGGGTAGGATAGGAGACTACCTTGCATGAGGGTTGACTGGGTCGTTAAGGCTGGGAGGTCCCCATAAGTTTGGGGAGACCCAGTGCCTTGTTTTATTTAGATTGTATGAAGCGTCAAACCGTTCTATAAGTTTAGGTGGTCTGATTGCTCTGGAGGCTGGGAAGTCTCTTTAAGTTTGGGAAGACCCAGTATTGTGATTTTGTTTTGAGGACCAGACTGTTCTATAAGTTCAGGTGGTTTGGTTGCTCTGATTTGCGAGGTCTGCTTGTGATTGACTTTTTTCAGGGGCTAAGTGCGTTCTGTAAGTTCAAGTGCCTTGGTCGCCTTGGTTATTTTGGGTTTTCTCTGTTTATTTGGTTTTGAACGAGGGGGGGGTCTAGGCCGTTCTATAAGTTTAGGTGAATCAGCCTCTTCCAAATTTTATTATAAAAGAATGAACTTAACAAAGGGGCAGACCATTCTGTAAGTTCGGGTGGTCTAGCCCAATGCCACGCACAGTTTGGATCAGAGAGGAACGAACCAAGCAGAGAGTCAGACTCTTCTGTAAGTTCAGGTAGTCTGACTCAAAGCCTCGCACATGCTGGAACCGAAGGATTATAAGTTGGCTATACTCTATTATTATTATATTTATCAACGAGTTAATCAGACTGTTTTATAAGTTTAGGTGGTCTGACAATAGCCTATCACAACCTGAAGAGAGTAAAACTAAGAGTATAATTGCAGGTAACTCGGGCCGGCTGAGCATTGTTTCTGAGATGAATGGCTCAACCCTACGCCTGCTTTGAAGATAAAGCTCGAGAGGTATATTTAACTTGGCTATTTAAACAGTTTAGGGCGACTAGAATGGTCTAGTCATATGCCGAAAGAAGAGAAAAGTTGTTGTGCCCTGTGTTTGTGTATACTTTGGCTAAGTAAGGCACATTCCATAAGTTTGGGTGTCCTGACCTTATGCCTTATGTAAGTTGGGTATAAGGGGTAAAATCATTGAAAGACTATGAACTATTGTCTGCCAAATTTACTTGGGAATGGTGAGAGTACTTACCTTTGTGGTTTGGCCTGCATGTGATTGAGTGAGGCTACTCCTTAGTCTGAGTTTCAGCTTGACAAGTAGTTGCTTTAGTTGCTCGCCTCGTGCTAGAGCGATAGGAGTTAGTTCGAGTTCTGCATTTTCTGAGCTAACTTTATTTTACTTAGGTCAATTTCTGCATTTTCTAAGATCTTTTATTATACTTGGCTTTGTATAAAATTTGGTAAGTTACTTTCTGCATTTTCTGAGCTAACTTTATTTTACTTAGGTCAATTTCTGCATTTTCTGAGATCTTTTATTATACTTGGCTTTGTATAAAATTTGGTAAGTTACTTTTTCTACGGGAAGCGCTGCCGAAATTTCTGCAAATCCAAGGATTTAGTCGGATTTTGACTTTTCAAAGTTTAACTTGTTTAAAGTTCATATATGGCTGAGTAAAAATCTGCAAAGTCTCATTTTCCAAAGGGAGTGCTGCCCACATTTTTGCTAATTCAGGGAGTTAGACAAAATTGGACTTTGGAAAGTCAAAGACTACTTCTGTTTTCATATTCGGACTGATATAAATTCTGAAAAGACATTTTTCCTACGGGAAGCGCTGCCGAAATTTTCTTAGTTTAAAGGAGATACATTATATTTTGACAGTTGGCGATTCTGACGATCCACTCTATATAGGGGAGATTGTGTCACGGTCTATCTTTGAGTATCGTTTTTGGCCCTGATAGTTGACTGGCTCGGACGATGCTTTGTCTGATTGATATGGTTGAGGAGAAATGAGACAATGTCAATGTGACTGGGCATATTGGTTGAGGGAGTTAGCCTCATAAGGTACCCATCATGGCTAAGGGAAGTTACCCGAGTGGTCAAGAGTGCAATAGGGTACTTTGGCTTTAGGGCGAGGCATAGGATGAGTAAAGGAAGCCTATTATGTTAGAAGTCATCAAAGGACTTAGAGGAGAGTTAGGCTAAGGGTGTTGAAAGCCTGTATGAGTATGAACTGGGATCCCCGGGTCTGGGCTCTAAGCAGTTGCTTGGGTTGTATAGCCATGGAAGTCTGAGGTCTGCCCCGCGTGATGTGTTCGGACTGGACATATAAGGCAACAGATAGATGCAGGAAGCACTATGTTATGACCCCAATAGAAGAAACTACGAGACGTAGCAGGTCTACATAATAACTTCTCCGCGAGAAATATATCTGATCCTAGGGGCAGCCAGGATAGCAGTGAAAGGGTCAATACTTAGACCCTTTTGTCCACTTTTGATAGGGTAATGAGTTGTAGTTGATGTTAGACCTTCTTTTGAACCTTCCCAGGATTGGACCATCCACTTAAATCTATGGGTTGGGGCTAAGGACTTGAGACTATTCTTCTCTAAGGGCACTTCTCTTGAGTTATATGTTGAACTCATCTGTAGACGTCTGATCTTACCTGAGTAGGCTTGCCTAACATGTATTTGTGTGGGTTTATATGCTGAATGACTATATTCCTTTGATTTCTATCCTTGTCAGAAATATTTATATGGGCCATGTATTTGAACTATTTGATCTGCAAGGATTTATATGAGTGTCTCAAGTCCGTTTATTGATTTATGACGATCTATTAAAGTTTGTGCATCTGGATCGTTGTTCAAAGAGGGGTAGGGATGTTGGAGCGTGATTATCGGTATGATAACGGAAGGCGTATGCTGGACGTTTTCTGTGATGGGCAGAACCTAGACCGGAGCGAAGACAACTCAGGATGCCTTATGCAAAGGAGGATCCTAATATGGCCTTGGCCGTTAAAAAGGAAGATGGACTCGAGATATCCTTGCCGAGGAGAGTCAAGGAAGGAGAGTATATCTCTTCCTGGTGGGGCGCACTGATAGGCAGGGGTATCTTCATCTGGATCAAGTCCGGTTTTGATGATGATGAAGATTGTGCGATTGTAAGGGTGACTCTGTACGCATCTTCCTTGTTTTGGGTCAAGCATGGGGTCGAGTTGGCACTTAGACACGGGAGCATGCTTGCGAGGCCACTAAGGATAGTTGAGGGGGCTGCGGAAAAATGGGCGAGGGACAGGGTTCATGAAGGGGAAGAGCGAGTGGTGACCCATGTAGAAGTCAAAAGTTTCCATGAGTTTAGGCTTCTTTCTACCCCATTACGAATTGGTTTGCCTGAATTTTTGGTAGAGGAATGTTTCGGGGGACAGAAAAGGGTAGAAGCCGCTGCAGAAGCCGCTGTGAAGGCACGCGAATGGGGGAACATGCGATACATGTGTGAATTGATATATGGTCTGTATCTGGATCAGAGGTTTTTGCCCGGTAGCCAAGGACTCAGGGGCGTGGCCAAGGTGGTTGATGCGTATGCAAGCTCCCATGATCCCGATGGGGAGGTTGTAGACAGGGATGAGGTTCGTGCGGCAACTGGTCGGTACAGGGCGCCCTTGTAACCTGTTGGAGTATGATACGAGTACGAGGGTTAGTAACATTGGTGGCCTCATTTACTATCTGCCTAAGATTGGCTTCGAGGGCTCTGCCTATGTGGGATGTACATTGTCTATGGAACCCTCTAGCTAAAGTTAGGGCCATATTGTATAAATGGGAAGAGGGTTGGTGTGAGACAGATAGTAATCAATTTTTACAAGCCCTGTTTGTTTTAAGCTGCCTTGCGCCCCAACCTGATGGTCGAGTGTTTGTCATGCGTGCCAGGCCGCTACCAGCATCATGGCTGAAGAGAGCGGTTTCGCCAAAATCCTATCCTGGAGGAGTACGTGCCTCAGTAAAGTGTTGTTGTGCGAGTCAGTGAGCGACTCAATGCCCCCAGAGCTTCGTGCCTTGCTATTTCAGGGAAGAAATATGTCTGCCTTCCTACGCGGCTATCATGGCTTCAGTCTCATGAAGAGGTGGGACAAGAAGGCGATGTGGAGCATGTTGCCGTTGTTTGTCTGCGAAGAGTTGAGTGAGGAGGTGTATACCCTTATGCTAAAGTCGCAGACTTGGGATGAGCTGGAAAGTTATCGAAAGTTGAGATTTCCAGAGGATGGAGCGGAAGGCCAGCTTGGTGAAGGCCCTGAGCAGCCAACCGAGGTTGTGTCAACACAAGGGAAGTTGAGTGGTATACAAAGGCGAGTTGGGATGTTGGATGAGAGGTTGACGCGACTAGAAGAAGCCAGGTGTGGCAAGAGGAGAGTTTCCGAGGAAGTATTGAGTGGGCCGACTGCGAGAGGCAAAGCAGAGGCAAGGAAGGATCGTCAAGAGTCACTCCCCCACAAGAAGACCCCGCGAAGACAAGCTTGCGCCCCTGAAAGAGATGAAAATGAGGGGGTCATTGAGATCAAGGAAGAGCAAGTATCTAGTATGGCTCTACCTGTAATTGCGCCTGGGCCAAAGGGAGGGCCCATGAACAGGGAAGCATCCTCGGCTGCGAGTCGGGAGAGGCAAAGGAGTGAGTGGTGGCCACAGCACTGGGCAAAGGTGGTATGTGATCGTTGGGGAAAGACTGGCTGTACCCCTCGAGGAAGTAAAGAAAAGGGTGTGACGGGAGAAAAAGGAAAGTCAGAACCTCTCAAGTTGACGAAGGCTCAGCGAAAGGCGAGGAATCGGGCCCAAGGAGGTCAAGGTGCCGAAAAGGGGCAGTGCTCACGACAGATGGGGGCCACCCCGCAAGAGGTGGAAGACAGAGCACCACAAGAGAGGCCCCCGCCGATTAAGCATGCGCTATACGGGCAGTGGGATCCATGTGGTCAAGTAGGGCCAAGACATATATATAATCCATATTTTCCCTGTGTACAAGGCAGTTGTTTAGGCCCACAAATGGATATGATGCCACTTAGGCCTACTGCAGACCAGCTTCAGCCAGCCTTGTGTATGAGGCCATTGCAACCACCGATACTATAAGTGACAGGAGGCCACGTGGCCGGTGGAAGGGGCCAAAGGTGGAAAGCTGGAAGGGGTTGCAGAGACGAGGGGCACAGAAAAGGGGAACGCGGTGGCAGCAAAGGTGGCTCTTGAGGAAAGAAAGTTGTTTGGGAAAAAGATCTTTGCAGACATTGTGCCAAGGAAGGGCACATAATAAAGTTTTGTTGGGAACGAAGGAATAATGAGGCAAGCGGTCTAATAAGGACTAATATTGAGGGAGATGTTTTCGACAGGGCTGGGAAGTATATCGACCCAACCATCCCTGGAGGAACACGGAAAGAGGCTTTGCGGCGAGATGGGGCATTAAGCACTGCATCCTGAGTAAAGTTGTGAGGAAGACAGGTTTGTATGAAAATGGCCTGGAAGTTTTGAGTAGGCTATAAATATAAGCAGGGGAATCCCAATTGAATAGACACGATGCGCAGAGGGGGTGGACCCCAATAGAATAACTGTATATATGGGGTATGCTAGGTCTGCCTCACATCACGTTATGAGAATGTCTCCTGTGGGAAGAGCAAGGAGTGACCCTAAGGGCACTGTTACGAAGTAGGGGGCTATTCTATCACGCCTATTGATTGGGAGCAGAAGATATGGGATCTACGTCGTGTCTAAGCCTAACAGGTTATATAGGTATGAGAGGTAGGAGAGACTCGGGAATAAACCTCAGCGTGTGGGAGATAGGCTCTCTAGCCTAGGAAGGTAGTTGTAAGGCTTGTGTATGAATGATTTCTAGTCTTACTTTTCCTTGGATATCTGGATATGTCTTGAATTACTCGGGTCCCTCTGATTTGAGGGGTGTGATCACATCCTGACCAAGACTGCTTTAGTTTTAGCTTTGGTCAGAAAGGGCACAATTTTTGTGTGTGGTACCGATACCATTTCGAGTTGAGATTGTTCAACTCCGGGTGCATAAATGTGATTCGAGACCATTTGGTTCGCGTTTGAGTTGGGGTATTTTACCCCTGAACATCTATTGAGTTGGAAAATTTTCTCTAAAGATTATTCTTTATATATGACGATCACTATCACTCTCACATGTGTGGTCTTATCCTGATGTATTATGGTTTTGTGTGAGAGTTGTGTGGGATACATCTTATGTGTATTGGATTATGTGAATTTGAATGCTGTCTACTCTTCGGTATACTCGTGCGATCTGCCTACGGGCAGGCGATAGGGTCGAGTATAAGGAGAGGTAGTGCAGTTTGTTGTGTGACAAAAGTGTGAGAATCCTAAGGGATTTTGCGATTCTATGAGACTCGAATACTTATCATGTCGGATGTTTTACAGTTGAGTTGTGAATGGGGCCCATAAGCAGGTCCCTTAGTTTGAGTTGTTTCGTGGTTGAGTTGTTTTATGGTTGAGCCCCCTCCAGATTAAGGGAGGTGGTAGTGTTGTTTATTGGAAGAGTCATCTTCAAAAGGAAGGTGTTTTAAAAAGGGTCGCGTGATAGTTCATCCTAGAAAGAGAGGGATGACTGGGAGACCTATTGAGAGATACCTCCTTCGTGTGAAATGTGGTTAATAGATTTAAGGGCATGATAAGCAAAGTTTGGGTCGATAAAGTCTGACGAGAGGAACCGGAATTACGGATTGCATCATTGATGAAACTAAGAAGGTCGCAAGTAAGTGCATTAAGATGTCGTGGGATGTGTGGTCTGTTGTCTCTGATCAAGTCAGTGGGTCACGGCCTTGTGTGAGCCTAGCGGTGAATTTGTTTGTGTTCATGAAAAGGGGCCGTACTTTCTATGTTGTCCCACAGGGAGCTGGTAAACACCTGTAAAAGTGAGACAGACCCCTGCGTAGTCCCGCAGCGGGCCTGTGGTCTGTTTTGCGACGCACCGTCTAGACACTTGTGCTAATCCTAAGGCATATTGAGGAATACTAAGCTAAGCGGTAAAAGTTAGCACCTCTATGGCGCAACCCCTATTGGATGGCTGCAAGCCAGCACAACCTGGCTGCGGACCCACGTCTACCAACAGGGTAAGAGTTTAAGGGGTTATGCACGCCCTAGGGAATTACTCTGGTGGGATGGCGGGGAATATGAGTCGAGTCTTTCAAGAGTCCTGAATGAATGTTTATCAGGAGGATACCTATTGTTGCATAACCAACGAAGGAACTGTCGTTCAAATAACAATGCGGTGGGTCGTAGATCTGACTCGATCAACCAGACTATGGTGGGCCAGGATGAGGACCTAGCATTTCCGTACTAGACTGCAGAAAGAGTTGAGATGAGATTTAAGTGTATATATGTAAATGTGCTTGATTGTGAGAATTTTCGGGAGGGAGGCGAGAGTGTCTTTCGAGGTCTCATTTAAGGTCCGCGTCCCTGCGTATGACTCTGCTTATGACAAAGAAACTAGCCGGGACACTCAACAAGAAGCCGGCGTTTATCTAGGACAAAGGGGAGAGGACGGTTTGAGGTGGCCTTTGGAACTTATGCTGTAGTATTGATGCGTAATACACCGGCGTCCTAGTGTCAAGACAATGGAGACCCAGGTTAAAACCCTGGCGGCATATAGTTGTGTGGGCACAGATTGTTGAAGGCCTCTAACCTGAGTCTGTCAGCTAATCGGATTGGTTCCTTTCTCGTCAGCATTTGGAGTTTGAATGGATTTATAGCTTCTGATTTGGTGAAGCGACGGGGACGTCGCTTAATATGCTTTGGTAAGCTGTCGGCGCGAATACCCTTACAAGGGTATCCGCCCTGGTTTTTGCAAGTGACAGAAACTAAGTATAGTTTAAGGTTTAAGTATGTCGCGCGAGTCGCGGCAGTCTCTGTTGTTTATGTGGCTGGGTAGTCGACTAGGGTAAAGAGTGTGTGGGCACGCAGGTTTGAGGCGCGCGTGATCTTTTTTGTATCGTTGGTGATTGAAGAGTCGGCGTGGTCGCCGGCCAGTTCTTTTATTTATTTTTTTGATTAAATAAGGATTAAAAAGGTTTTATCTTTTTGATTGGTGCATTTACCTGTGACTTGCGCATGCATACGGAGGACGACGTCGACGACGACATGATTCGGTATAGTCGCGCGGCGGGCGCAGAGGTTAGCGGTCGATAGTTCGGTCGATAGGCCGATGCGCGGGGTTAAAGCGTTTCGGTAAATTGACGCGTCACGCGCCGTCCGTTTATTTAGGCTTCAGTCAGGGCTAAACCCAGCCTTGAGCCTAGCACTATTAGTTACAGTATTGGACTTCCATCTGAGAGGTCCAGGGATCGAGATCGAGCGGCGACGACGCGGGATATCGAAGTGGCATGAAGGGACTGAGGGGGAGGGTCGAGGGCCCGGCGGGGCTATCCCCCCCCCCTTCCTGGTTTTGTCGTCGGCAGAGTCTGAACGGGGGTGGCACTTGCTAAGTGATTTCTTTTTAGCACCTCATTCCTAATAATTTTTGTTATACCCTGGCGTGCCGTTGACCTGGATGCGACGCCGGATTTTTTTTGAGGGCCGTCACGGCGGTCGAGGGCCTTGAGGGCGCGCTTTCCCCTGGTTGTCCTTCGAGTCCGTGCGTGTTCGGGAGGCTGGTGAAGTCCCTCTTCCATGCGGTCGTTTGACCAAACTGGTCAACATGCGAAAAAGCGGTGTGGTCCGCAGTCGTGGCTTCCTTCGCTCCCTCTTGGAGGGCGTCGGTAGTCTAGAGGTGGAAGAGGATTGGAGAGTATTCCGAGCTGACCGGTGGGACTACAGCCCGAGAGTGATAGGGGCCTTGACGAATTGCGTCGTCTGTCCACCCGCCATCCGCTATGAGGGCGTTGGGTCCGGGAACACGGCTTCTGCCCGTGGTCGTGGCCTCCCCACCTCCCGCTTGGAAGGCCCCGATCCGGATAGTGTAGGGGAGGGGGGGGGCAAGCGGGTGACCGCCCAGAGAGGATTGGAGGACAGGCAACAGTTGAGCGCCCGGGGCCTATCAACCCCCGCTAACTACTAGCTACTGCTGAAAAGGCCCGCACCGGGTGTGTCCCACCTGGGCCCGGGTATAGGCCTTATGGGAGGGTTGTTCCCCGACCTTTCAGAGAGCCAGAAGCTGCCTCTCAGGCCGGGCATAGGCCGGGCGCCTCAGCGCTGTCTGCTACTGAACCTAATGGACTCGAGTAGGTAGGTAGTATACGCTACCTAGCGGACTAGGCCTTCTCAACGCCGGTGGAGTGGCCGAGGCAGCGCACAGTCTGCCGACCGACCGTGAGCGAGGACGAGCGGAGAGGGCAAGGGGCAGAGCGCTACGACAGGGAGAGCGCAGAACGGGAAACGACCAGCTGATAACTTAGTGGATAGGGCAGGGGGCTGCAGACGAGGGGAGCCGGTACCGCCAACAGGGAAAAGCGGAGGGCCGGACACAACACCACGTGGGAGAAAAGGGGCGGAGTGAACCCGGGTGCGAATTCGCACCGAGTGCATTCGGCACATGGTGAAATGGCAGTGGCGGGGCGATGGGTTGGGCTCAGTCAGATGGCCACAGCTTGCTTGATTCACAACGGAATCGGGCAGTTAGTTTTGGTAGGGAGTCAGTAGATCGGGAGTTAGGAAGAAATAGTAGCCCGCAGAGGTGGCGAGAGGAAACGGGTATGGTGAGACGAAAAACCAGGTATTTCGCTCGGTCCTTAACGGAACCGAGCGGGATAAGATTGGAATGAGGGGTTTTAGGATGTGGCGAGTATGATGGTAAGGTTAGATTTGGAGTCCGGTATTTGGTTTCAGAGTGTGCTAGTAAGAGGATGCGCGAAAGTATCGGGGGTTCGACAATTGAAGGAAGTGAAATGTTAATAATTCCCTCGATTCACTACAGAATCGAACGGGGTAGGACGTATTTCGGGATTTCAAGCTAAAACGAAT